AGCGTTGTATTTATAGTCATGGCAAAACTTGACAATACCCGTTAGTTTGATTGAACCACTGTACTTAGAGCAGAAGCCAAATAGCAGGCATCTTTTATTAGGGCAAGAAATCAGAATCATGACGAAATGCGTAGGCGGGGGCTGCGTCCGACGTTGCATAGGATCCCTTAGCCCCTTGGCAATCTCTTTGCTGCACGTCTACAAGTAGGTTCTGCCAATTATGTTTTACAGCAAAGGAGTGCGCAACTACCTCAAGTATCAACTAAGTCCCTGCCTGAGAGAGGGGATGCGTGAGAGGTGCTTGTCAGCTCACGTTGATCGCCGGTCAGCGTAACAACGTATCCCCGTTAGGGACTGAAGAGCCACCCAATCCAGTTCAAGCGAACGAATGGTAGAGAGGAGGGCATGGATTGCGTTCCTTCAAGCCAATTCGCAGAGACAGGTTCGCCGTTTACTCCAGTCGAAATACTGGAAAGAAGTCCACTTGGAGCACTTGATGGGGCTCTCGCCACCTGTGCTTCGCTTGCGATGGCGGCACGGCGGGTGAAAATACTGGTTGGGTAGGTGGTTCCGACCCGAGAAGGATATCCGAAGTCTACATATGCCACGCTGTCACTAATGCAGTCCCAGATCGACGTGTTGAATAAAACATGAAATTCAGAAAGTTGTTCATCTAGGTGCCACCAAGTTACAATTTCCCATCGCTCATAGAGGTCCGCCATGTCTCGTCCGAATTTGAAAAGGTCCACCTGCCGGGCAATCCAAGCCTAGAAAGCGATCCCTGCAATAAGAGCAATTCCAGCGGTTGAAATAACAGCACTGCCCGCCGTCAGCTTGCCGTACCCCCTGAGATCGATCCACCACAGCCAAAGTCCAGATAAGAGGGCGAAAGACTTCCAATTTTGGCCCAAGGCGTCCTCAAGCACGGAGCCCTCGAAATGGAGAGCGAGGCTGCGGCCGGGGTTCCATCCACTTTTGTCTGCCATGAAAGCTACAATCTCCTCTTCATCGCTCTCAAAGCCCGGCTCCGGCAGCATGTTCAAGTCGTCGGTGCCAGACTTGGGGCGAGACTTTCGAACCAGTTTCCGACGGAGCCCCTCTCCAAGCGCCTTGGCCTCAGCGTCGGTAGTCTTTTTCCACTCCAAGCAATCCTCATTTCCATCAAGAGTCAAGTCGAAGTCGAGATCACAACGTCGGAAGGAAGGCTTGCGGCATTTCATGGTGATTTTGGTCCCCTCGGTCTCGGTGGGCACACGAGAAGGTAGCGTGACTTCGAGGAAATTGTGGCTGAAGAATGGACCGACCTTCCCGCGTGCAGTTGCCAAAACTCCAGCAGTGTGACTTTCTCCATTCAACATCTTCATAGTGAAAGAAGAGGAGTATCGGTGCTTGTCGACGAGAACGATGCATGGTGTGTCGTAGTCGGGGGACATGACTGTGTAGACTTCCTGTCGTCCCAGTTTGCCGTGAATCAGGTGGACTGTGGGCGGAAGTTGTGGAGCAGAGGTCGAAGGTGCATACAAGGTGGAAGGGAGATCGTCATCCGTGGGCGGTTCTTGAGAGACTCCCTGCGCCGCCGTGGCTTTGGGGGACTTGGTGACTGCAGCGGATGCAGAATGATTCTCCATTATGCTTCGATATGTAAAGAGCAAGCGACGTTGGGTCCGATGGAAGTGGGATTGAGGACGAATATCAAGCCCAAGACCGGTGCAGTTTCGGAGAACAAGTACGTGGTCCGCAGCAGGAAAAGGATGGAGGAAACTCTATAGGTGTTGATATTGGACAGGCGGAGTCGATGGCCTCGAGACGGAGGACGGTTATCAAGCAATACGACGATTGGTGATGTTGAGGTGTTGAAGATGGAGAAAGGGAATCGAACTCGTCTGCGAGGCCGGAGGGTGTTTTTGCCTTGACAGGAACTGCAAGGTTAGGTACCTACCTAGGCGCAAATGATGGCAGCAGGCGCGGACGCTGTTACCATGCGCCGGGGATCCTGCCTTCCTTTTGAGAAATCCATAACTTATTCTTTGGGAGGAAGAAGAAGAAGAGAAGGAGGAGGAAAGAGACATCGTGGCGATGACGAAGAAAGCGTGGGCGGGGGAGGGGGTTCAGGAACCTCATCACTACCTACTTCCCGCCTACCTAAGGGACCTATCTGAGGTACATGGACCAAACTGAAGGACCGCTGCCCTCACAATACGACACGTTAAATAAGCATCGAGGTCATAAATGTGTTCAACAAGTGGCATATATGCTCTCGAGAAGAGATTGCTCTTGCACCACTTGCATTCATATGCCGCATCAGGTGTGTTTTCGGGTTGCTAAAGCCTTTGAAGGCCGGATCAGGTCTGCGATATGATTTACCCCCAGCCTTTCCGCATTTTTGAAGTTACGTGTCATTGTGCTTGAATATGCAATCTCTGAGATTTGACCCTCGTTTCTTCATTCCTCTGCGCTCCCTTCCTTTTCTTTACACATCCTCCTCTTCTTTCTCCCCCCCCTCAGGCTTTTGGCCATAGACCACATTGCTGTGAGAAATATTAATACCAGAGCATGATCCAGCACAATGGATAGAACAACTCACTAGTGGTACCATCCGTGCACTTTCCCACTTTTCAGGTCATTGCGGACTCCGGCCAGGAGCACAATCACCTCCTCTCTCGTCCAACCCAGAGCCCCGCAGAGTAGCTTCATAGAAAAACCCTCCAAACCGTCCAACATCTGAGCGAGGTTGCACATACCAATGTCCTTCAGGTATGGGTCCTTTGCCCATGGGCCGGCTGGGATTTTGTAGGGCTGGTGGTGAATGTTGGTCAAGCCAGTGTTGTCACGCACTAATCCCTCCAGCTTCGGACCAACTTGAGCATCTCGACCAAAAGCTTTACAGGCATCCATGAAGAGGTCCACCCATCGCTGCAGGTCAGTACCCTCAAGGGAACCGTCATCTGAGGTCAATAGGAAGCTCCAGTCTTGGAACTCTGCCCAGCCGCCAGGGCTTAGATTCCTACGTAGTTTTCTCGTTTCAGCCCATGAAAAAGTTGAAAGGAACGTAAATCTGGCAAGGCTTACTCATAGACACGCCTTACATAAGTCGGCCAGTCTGCCAAAGACCCGCTCATGTATCGGCTGAAAATGAAGTCATACTTTTGATCATTGACCCATTCACTCTCAACATCATCGATCTCAAACTTGACATTTGGTGAGACCCTGGGTCACTGTTAGCAAGCTGCCATCGATACTGTAATGTACTGGGTTGATACCAGTCTGGCTGGATAGCACTGAGGTCGTTGCCGAGAATCTACTACTTTGTCAGCGACAAAAGACAATTTTTTACAACGTCACTCATTGGTAGATATACCACAGCGTTTGGAAATAAGTCGCCCATCTCCATGGACCCTGTGATGTTAGCATCAATCTGCAGCGTTGCGAAACAGGTGATAGCATACATATACCTGTCCCCGTTCCAACATCAAGGATGTGGTGAGTTTTAAACTCGTCTATAGGTGCGAGAAACAGCCTGTTTCCAATCGTCTTCACCATTAGAGTGTGAACCATGTCCAGTCGCTCCATTTCTGTCTAGACAAGAAGCCACGTTAACATGTTTACGCCTCTAAAGACCGAGCGTAGTAGGCTATAGGGTTCTACCTCATCATTAGGAAAGTTGTATGCTAAAATAATGGTCAGCAGGAAGTTAAGTGGTAGATCGTGTAGATGACAAAACGTACCCCCGGCTCTGAATGCATGATATCGTCGACCATACTCAGTCGGATAGTCCACAACAGACGAAGTCAACGATGCCGTGTACGAGGAACTGGAATCCGAAAAAAGATTTCGTCAGGCCAAAGAACGCAAGAACAGAAATGATATCTTTGGGTTTAATGCATACATCCTGTCATCAATTGTTGACGCCTCATGCTAATGAGATACAAGATGTCAGTTGAGATGATCCAAAAGACCAGCCCATGGGAGAACAGAGAGGGAGCACAGTAACTTACTTCTGCATGAAGATCGATTGCGATTGGAGCTATAGGCACGATTGCTTCGGCGGGAAGCTGTACACTCTCTGCATCAGGGGCCGGACTAGCTTTCACTGTTGGGGATGGTGGAGACCTAGGCGCCGTCAGAGATTCGTGAGCAGGAGTCGATGAGCTTGAAACCATTGTTGGAATTGCGTCAGTTGTTGTGAAAGAAAGGGGTCGAGTTGCTATCTGCTGCAAGTGTTAAGTATGCCGTCGTGGCAGCAGCAGCGCTGGTTATAAAGGTCACAGATATTTGGCAGAGCTAGTCTGGGATATCCGGCCCTGCAATGGCTTGTTTTGTAGGACCTTGGGATACAAAAAGCCCCTCTTTCTGTCCATTCGCTATGCAAGTGACTGTTGGTTGTTAGCCTCAACAGCATGTGTGCAGATGCAGCTCCCCTGGAAGAGTTTGTCTCCTTCCCCATTTGAATCGGTGGCAAGATAATCGTGGGTAAAAGCCCCATAATACGACTCCCTGAAGACAACCCTGCTGCAGGCTTGGCACAAAGCAAACAATGATAACGATGCGCTTAGTTAAGGGCGAGTACCACCAATCGTAATTCAGAATGCACGACACACCCTAGAGGTGCTTTTCATGGCGGCAGAGAAGTATAACCCTGACGTGTTTGCATCAGTCCATATTGGCTTGGGCCAAGGCCAGCACTATACGTGATATTTGACACATTATCGGGTGGGTTAGCATAAAGCGCGACGCCATGCTATATAGGCTGAAGGTAGGGGAAGGGGAAAGACGAGGTAAGGACTTAAGTTCGTAGATATATACGCAGAGGTGGTGTTTAACCTACCTCATGGTGTATTTATGTTAGCTATTAACAAGACATCTATCTTATCTTCTTTCCTTTATAGCCCACAGAGATTTAATAGATAATTACAAGACAAATACATAGAACCTTATTACCTGTGACGCGTCTCGGGCAAAAACTTTCTTACGTTGTTATCATGATTTGCAAAAACAAATACTGACCAGCCTGGGGGTCGAACCCAGAATCTCCTGATTGCAACAACCTCTGATCCCCAGCTTGAGACCAGCGACTCGTAGTCAGACGCCTTGCCATTGGGCCAACCGGCCGAATTGAAGTTGGGCCGGTCAATCCACAACCTATGTCTGGCTCCACACTCAGCTTCACCCCAGATCCTTGACCCCGTTACTCATAGATTGACAGGCAACGAACGAGGATCGACAATACTATTGTGATCATTGATGACACTACTTATAGCTCTATTCATTCAGAACTTATTTCTGTCTCATTCGCTCTTGCTCCAATGTCATTGCATTACAGTCATTAGAACCCAACTCTTTCAAGTACAAACCCAAACTTGAACTCTCCAACATGCACCTTCAGGTCCTCACGAACGTTGGGACCGCAAGCAGCGGTGCCAACGCCGGCAACGCGAGCATCCAAACGAAGGAGCGTTGCATCTTCCTCCACGAGATCACATGGGTGCGCGGCATTCTGCACCGTCTCGGAAGTGTACCGGCTGACCTGGAAACTGAACTGACGCCACTCATCCTCAGACCAGACGGAGGCATCAGCCGGCGTGGCACGAAGACCGCGACCGTGATCCTCAGTCAGCTTGACATAGCGAGTCTCCATGTGGTTACCGCCCTCTTGGGGTACCTCATAGTGCTGGTGCAGCTCCGGCACGGTAGCACTGAAAACGCCAAGGTGCTGGCTGGACTTCTTGTCCGGGTAGGATTCGCCGGGGCCGAGGGCAAAATACTTGACGTTGTTGAGCAATTTAGGCAGACGCAGGTTGAGACCAACGCGAGGGATGTGAGTGGGCTTGATGCCGCGTGGCTTCAGCTCAACTGCAATCGTAAGCCGACCAGTGGCATCGATGGTGTAGGTTGTGGTGGTTTCCCACCCCCAGTCGAGAACACGGGGAGACAAGTAGGTGTTGGTGATGATCTCGACCTTGTCAGTCGACTCGTTGATCTTGAGCGATCGGAGCTGACTGTCAAAGGCGTCGACGCCGAAGCGAACCCAGTACGGCGCGTCGTTGGGCTTGTCATTGTCGGTGGGAGCACGCCAAAAGTTGGGAATGATGGCAGCACCGGTGGAAGCGTCCTTCTCGAGGAGAGGGATATCGGCAGCTGTCCAGGAAGTAAGGTAGCCGCGGGCAGTGTCGAAAGTGATGGCAAAGTCAGAGCCGGAAACAGTGGCCTTGGCGCGGGACTTTGTGACCTGCAGCTTGGAGGTGAGGGTGCTAGTGGCCAGCTTGGGAGCCACGGGGGCGCCAAACAGCTTGTGTTGGATCCAGGCAATCTCGTGAGCGGGCTCAGCCCAGTTTGTGGATCCCTTGAGGCCAAAAGTCACAGTGATGTAAACCTCCTTGTCGGACTTGATGTTCGCGAGGCTTGAGGGGAGGTTGACGTTGACGGTCTCGCCGGCGGCGACCGTGGGGATATCGAGGGAGCCAGAGGCGAGGAGGACGGAGCTGTTCCAATTATTGTCAGTATTTCTTTTCCTTGAACTCGGTTTACAAACAGGTAGACTCACGTTTCGCCCAGCTCCTCGACCTTGTAGGTGGAAGTAAGGTGGTCGGCACCGACAAAGTCGTACTTGTTCTTCACTACCAACTGGTTGCCCTCAATAGACAACTGGAGGGGCTGGTAGGCCTTCTTGAGCTCAACCAAGCCAGGCGTAGGGTCATGGGTGCTGTGAAGGAGACCGTCCATGACGAATGCGCCGTCATGGGGTCGTTCACCAAAGTCTCCTCCATAGGCGTAGTAGCCCTTGCCGTCGGCATCTTCCTTCCAGATACCATGGTTTGCCCATTCCCAGATATAGCCACCTTGAAGACGGGGGTACTTCTCAAAAACCCCGATATAGTCATCGAGACCACCAGGGCCGTTACCCATGGCGTGGCCGTACTCGCAGAGGATAACGGGCTTGTCAAAGCTTCCATCTTCCTTCACACCCTCAGTCTCGACCAGGTTGCTCAGACGGTCAATAGGAGGGTACATGTAAGAGTACATGTCCGCAGTTTCGGCCTTGACATCGCCCTCGTAGTGGATCGGGCGACCAGGGTCAAACTTCTTCGCATACTCGTACATGGCCTTGTGGTTTTCGCCGTAGAAAGCTTCGTTACCGAGCGACCACATAATGATGCTCGTATGGTTCTTGTCACGTTGAACCAATTGAACCATGCGGTCAAGGTAGGCCTCACGCCATTCCGGGTTTTCGCTGGTGTACTTGCCGGCCAAGGGGAAGGTTACAGCCTTGCGCTCTTCGTAATCCGCTGCCTCGTCGACATCTTGCGGACGGGCGACGGCGTCGTAGAAACCATGGCACTCAAGATCGGCTTCGTCCATAACCCACAGACCGAGCTCGTCGGCAAGCTCGAAGAGACGAGGGTGTGGAGGGTAGTGCGAGCATCGCAGGGAGTTGACGTTGTGGTTCTTCATGATGAGGAGGTCGCGCTTTGCGTACTCGAGAGGAACGGCACGGCCAAAGTGAGCGTGGTGCTCATGTCTGTTCACACCCCTAATGCGGATGGGCACACCGTTCACGGTGATAAGGCCGTTCTTCAGCTCAACCTTGCGGAAGCCAATGTTTTGGTAGATGGAGTGGGAACCGAGGGTGATATCGACTCGGTACAGGTAGGGTGTCTCGGCCGTCCACTTTTTGGGGTTTGTAACTGGAATGCTGAGATCTACCTTTGTTTCGCCGGAGGTAACCTCTGCCTCCTTGGTAGCGACCACGGCGCCGCCATTCTTGCCAAGTTCGCTAAGAGTGAGCTTGACAGTGCCCTTTTCAGCAGTCTTGATATCAATGGTCGCGAGGAGGGTAGCATCTTCGTATTTCTCGTCCAGGTCTGTGCGGAGGAACCAATCCTCGATTCTGGTGGCCTCGGGAACGGCAAGGAGGGTAACATCGCGGAAGATACCTACAAACAAGCGGTTAGGAGGTGCCTAGAGGGCAGGTATCTTGGCTTTCACTCACCAGAAAGCCACCATTGATCCTGGTCTTCAATGTATGTTGCGTCAGACCATTGGTAAACTCTAACAAAGAGCTCGTTTGGGCCATCCTTCTTCAAAATGCTTGTGACATCGAACTCGGACGCATTTCGGGACCCTTGTGCGAATCCAATGAGCACGCCGTTGACCCAGATGTGGTATGCAGAGTCGACACCGTCGAATCTTAGGCGCAACTGCGACTTCGCGTCCCACGTCGAGGGGACATGGAATGTGCGTTTGTAGGTACCCGTAGGATTCTCGCTGGGCACATACGGAGGGCTCACGGGAATGGGAAACTGAGTGTTGGTGTACCACGGGTATCCGTGTCCCTGAAGCTGCCAGTGGCCCGGAACGTTGATGGTGCCCCATTCGTCGCCCTTGTCTTCCGGCAAAGGCGCCTCTTCGGGAGTACCGGCCATGTGGAAGTCCCAGACACCATTGAGCAGCAGCGACGTCTCAGGAATGAAGTATGCACGAGCAGGCAGGGTGTTGCGCCGGAAGACGGAGGGGTTCTCATAATCATGAACTCCCTCCTTTGCCTGGAGGGGCAAGTTTTGAGGGGCCATGATAACGGTTCGAGGGAGGGGAAACGGCGGGGTGAGACACGGATTGGAGTTGAGGAATGAAAGGAGGGAGAGTGTAGAGGGGAGTGACAGATGGCCGGCCACCAAGTTCTAGTTGTTATTTATTTGCGCTCAAAGCTCCAGGCGGAGTAATGCGTCGGGTGCAACACCGCGGCAAAGACCCGACCAGATAGTCCCCTCGGCGAGCTCCCGTTTTCTCGTGAGACCAAGTTGCCCCCGCTATATGACGAGCGAGCGTGGGGCAAACACTGGACTTTCCTCGGGGTAGATTCGAGTCAGGTCGTATCGGTGTAGGACGACCCCAAGATGATCCCTGCTCTCCTCGACTTCATCCGCAGCAACTCCGCACAAAGGGGGCTTGGACTTGCCCGACCTTGAGTGGCTCTGATTGGGTCCGGGGAAGCCGGTGCCGGCCCCGCACCACTATCTGGGCCGGAACTTGTTGCAATACCCGAAATGCCATCTTAGAATGGTGGGAGACTCACTCTCTGTGTTCGTTACCCCGGACTGAAAATGTCTACACCCTGGCTAATGTTGGCTGAAAATTCCGTATGAGACCGTGCTGTTGGTTCACGATTGACCAAGCCATCGTGTCACCCCAGATTCCCTCGTCGCTTTCTGCTTTGTACAATGCGGCTTGAATGTTCTTTCTAGTGGACCCTGAATGCGGGGCGAGGCTACCTTATCTTGGTGTGTGGGTTGGCGGTCCTGCGACCAGAAGACGCAAAAGGATCGCGTTATCACCCACCTCTCCAGTCTTTCGTCTCCATCGATGAAACCCATCTAATTCAATGATCTCTCTACTGTTCACTGCTGCGGACTTCTCGGCCCTCTCGGCCTGCGCCGCCTTGTTTGCGAACTAGCTGTTGCTTCAGTTGAGAGAATAAGGGTTTATGGTATCGAGTATTGGGCGTGATATTTATGCTGTATTTTGTTCATCGGGCGTGATGCGACTCGTATCATTGATTCAAACCTATTGATAGTCAGATTGGTTTGTCTCGGTTGCAGATGGAATTAACAGTTTCATCCGTGTTGCAACATAGTGTCAGTAATACTGGTGCATTCAGGCTCCGACGAAGACATTAGATGTTCTTTCACGGATCTCTCTTAGTCTGACTGACGCCGTCTTCGTTTTGCGCAGTTGCTTGCCAAACGGCTTAGTCTCAATTCGCGTCGGCCTTTGCTACATGCACAACTCCAACTACTCATGTTTTCTAAGAGTGAATAAGAATCTTAGGGCTGAGTAGCATTTCCATATTTCTGCTCCCTTCCTTTTGCCATTAGCATTGAAACTTTTGAGTTACTTTGATTCCCTGGGACCTATTCGACGGTGTCTTTATCGTGAGTCTCTAGATGTGACGTCAGCCGTCTGTGCCCATGTAATCGAGGTGCCTTTCCTATTTCCTCTGAGACCAAGATCCGCAATGTCGGGGAGTTAGAGGAAACGTTAAACACACCGATTCGTGTCAGAAAGGCTTTGGAGCATGGGCCAGATGAGACCGCCTTGAGCGCAATGTCGGTTGG